GTGAGGGGAGGAGTATTAGTTGGAGTGGTATTCTTATTTGATGAAAACGTGATAGTGTGTTGAAAACGTGGACATGATATATTTTACGAAATAAGTTAAATGTAGAATGCTAGAAAAATGGAATTGAGAGTGGGAAGATATGTGAAATCTTGTTGCTAAAGTGCCCTTTTCAAATTTATATAGATATAGATATTGCTGAACTTGAATTATGTGGGACAATTTTCTCTATTTTTTCTGCCCGGAAGTATGGAAGGAGGAAGAAACGTTGTGGGGAGAAAAAGGTCCAAACGCTTTGGACCCATGATTGCTTGCTTGTGATGATTTTGATTCTGTTGGGCAAAATACGCCACCGGCTGATGTCAATCAGCATGGCCAAGTGTACTCTCTCTTTACTACTAATTTGTCAACTTCAAGTGTACTCTCTTCAAGTGTTCTAATTCGTCAACTGTCTTCTCCTTAATTAGATTTTATCACATGTGCTTATTACTTTGAGGCGTACTAATTTTTCAACTTTCTTCCTCCTTAATTAGATTTTATCACATGTGCTTATTAATTTGGACGGAGACCATGAACCTTTTTTTTTTCAGTCTAAATACAATAATCTATATTACTCTTACACTATGGGAGAGAAAGAGTCCAACTGGGTTTGTGAACAAAAACAAAAGATACGTGTACAACAAAGAGATGTAAATATATATCAAATCATGTAAAAAAATACAATAACTATGCAATCGTATGAAAATCACAAGTGTACTGGCCCTTCTTACTAATGAGCCCACAAGAAAAAAAATAAGTGCGGGTAGTTTCCGGGCCTATTATACGGTGACATACTAATTTTAAATTTGCACGGTACTGCAATTCTCTTTGGAAGAGAATCTTAAAATAATTTAATAACACAAGTATGTCTTCTTCTTTTTTCTGTAGACAGCAAGTCCGTGCATTGGAGCCATCAGATTTTTTATCAATCAAGATCTCATTAAGCAACAATTACAACAAGTATTAATTAAATTAATCTGCCACCGTGTAAAGATCTGGATAACTGTTCCCACGATGTTCCCGGCAACGGCAATTTTACCCACTTGGGGATCAATCTAGTCGAGCACACCATGTTGCATTATGTGAAACTAGTATTTTGACCTATGCTATGCACGGGTTATATTTCAAATCCAAATAATTATTTTTTTTTATCATTTCTATCATATTCCTGCAATTCCCTTTTTTCTTCTCTTTCTTCTCCGCCCATCCTAGTAACCCATATTTCTTCTTCAACCTTTTCTGCTATTTTTCAACTCCTCACTATTTTCTACCCTCCCTCCTCTCCTTTTACCTAACCTCTAAATTCATATCCCTGCGACCCAATATATTTAACTTTACCTATCATAATGAAAAAATAAAATTAAAAATTAATTACAATGGTTGCAATTATTAGTATTTAAAAATGGAAATGAAAAACTGATAATATCTATAATATCCTCAAGTACTACAATCAATATATATATATATTTAACATAGCAAATACATATTTACATATGAAGACAGCAATAAGAATACATAAAATAATTAATGATACCAAAACTTATCCTTAGTGTTTGGGTTTTGCACTCTTATTAAAATCTAATGTCAAATTTGGGCCAGATATATACAAATTAAGTAATATTTTAGGGTTGAATGTTCTATATCTTTCTCTTAAACTATAATGTTACTTTTTTAAAAATTTTTGGTAGAATTGGTGTTGTTATTATCATTATTTTTTTTTATCAAAAATGAATATTTCAAAAAAAAAAATCCACGTTAAAAGGCTAGTAGTACTTTGTTTTTTATTTAGTGATTTCATAATTTCGATTTCATGAATGGTACATTCTTGATTTTTTAAATCCACAACATTGTTTCCTTTTTGTTTTCTATTTAATTTTGCCATTTTACTTAGGATTACTAAGTTAAAAGATAAAATATTATCATTTACGTTTTTACTTTTACTAAGTTTGGCAATGTTTTCTTTTTATTTATCCTCCCACTAATAAATTTCAAACCAAATTCCTATATAAGCAGAGCCACTACTTTTTTAAATTATAAAGGCATGGAAGCCACTTTTTACTTAAGAAAATGTTATTTGCCCTCCATTTTTTATTATTTACAATTCCACCATTTGTTTTATCATATAGTCTAATTAATGAAAATTATATGATCAAAATGATTATTGAAGTGTGAATAACAAAAATGGAGTGTAAATAATCATACTTATTTAAATTAATAAGAAAGCATGAAAGGATGTTATAATTGTTATCTCTTCTTATGGTCTTATAGAAGTTTTAATTGTTGTAGAATCATAAATAACGCAAGGCAATCAGAAATGTGATGGGTTGAAGTTCAAATAGGATAACATGCACATTAACCAACAATTTGAAATGAAATGATTTTAAAAAGTAACCAACAATTTCAAATATGAAGAGTAGATGTGAAAGTTGAGAGGAATATATTTTATGAATTAAATTAAATGTGAAATGCTAGAAAAATGGAATTGGTAGTGGGAAGATACGTGAAGGCTTGTTGCTAAAAATCCCTTCTGAAATTTATATAGATATAGATAATAATAGGGATTGCAATTGGAACAGGCGGGCTTATGGAGACAGGGACAGAGCGGGGGGTGGGATGGGATGAGGAGCATTTTTCTCTTGTTAAAAAATACGGTGGGAGAGTATACTCTTGTCTCATTCCTGTTCCGTTGCCCGTTAAAAAAAATTAAATTATAGATAATATATTTAATTTAATTAGTTATAAATTTATAATAATGATATGATTAATTATAAATATTACATAATATATATTAGTGTATATAATATACTTAATTATATTAATTATATAACAATTATGCATGTATATTAATAGAAATTATTGAATTTACTAATATGTTTATACTAAAGTTCTAATTATACTTAACATATATATATGTACGACTTTTTTGTATATAATTTTGCCAAATTCATATATTTCATTTAATCATGCCTTTTCACTAAAAAAATCTAATATATTACGCATACGTAGTATTTATTGTTAGTCTTGTATTGCACTTTACTAACTATGACACGAACCCTTTTTTGTTCCTTTTCTTTTCGAGGGGAAAGAACCCCAAACTGAAGAGGGATAAAGTGATAGCTATGTCTAATTCTTTTCCCACAAACGTTAAACAGATTAAAATTGAGAGCTCGCTACTTAACGAGCACAATCTCTAATGGTCGCTTAAAATTTTAAGATAGTAAGACAAATAACTTTTTCATATAAATACCCTTATTTTTTGGACAAGAAAAAAGAAGAATATTTAATTAACTAAAAGGGAGGTCATAACTACCTAAAGGTGTGATGCAAATTGTGTTTCTAATGCAGGTAAATAATTTGGAGCGTAATAATGGCTCTCCAGACACACTCACTGTTTATTGAAGGGAATCAAATGGATTTGATAATGAATGAAGCTAACACAAAAAAAATTAAGGAATCTCTGCTCAAATTAATTTGTTGATACTTTCGTGTGTGACGTGAAAAGCTGGGAATGCGTACTATGCACTCCGCGTACCTAATAAGAAACCCCCACTTGTATCCCCCACACATACACAAAAAAAAAAAAAAAAAAACCTCTTTTCTTCTTCTCCATTTTTCTTTTTATTTTCATCTTGGAATAGTTCCAGACCTCCACATTGGTATCCTCCTGTGACATTGCGGAGGGTTGGGTTGAATTGGACGGTAAGAAGAAAATAGCATAAATTGGAGATTTTGGATTTAAAACTTTTCGCTTGAAAAAAAACTCCTTCAACATTTCACAATATACCAACTTTTCCATTATTTTTCCTTTGAAAATGCAAAAAATTGCAAGCTTAGGTACCCTTTAAAATGCAGCTTGATTTAATTTGATTGGTTGGTTAGTTGATGAAAAAAGGTATAAAAAAAATCATGTTCATTAATCTTTTAAACCAATCTCAATTCTTTTCTTTTTTTTTTAAATATAAGTGGGAGGTTTGAACTTAGGACCTTTTACTTACATTCCGTTCTCCTTAAGCACCTAATCCATTCCTCTATCTAATCGATCTCAACTTAACAAGTGTAAAACTTGAATTTTTAAATAAATATAGGAAATTACTTGAAATCGACCTCATGAAAACTCATTTGAGCAATAATTGAATAATAATAAAATAAATTTTAAATGCTTAAATGGTAGTACTATTACTTTTCTGGTTCCACCTTGATAATCTTGCTTTCATTTTTTCATTTATCCTAAATTATAGTTTACTTTCCAATTAAAAAATATGGTTGAATTTTAACTTCTCTAAAATGTCCATATTTAATGTACTTTGTTATGAATGATACAAGTTGCTTACCTAATAATTGATTTGTGCTTAAAAAAAAAACCTAATAATTGGTTTGATCCATGCCTTGAATAGTAAAACTTTCCATCAAAATCGTTATTGTAATTAACGTAAAGGTATAGTGATTTGTTATATTATTAATATTAAAGTAAGGATATTTTAGAAAAATAGTAGACTAGATCGATTGAATTGCTATTTTTAAGAGTTTTTTTGTAAAATTGTAATAATTTAATATATGTGAGATAAAAAAATAATTAAAAAAATATGTTCATAAATAATATAAAATTTTTTTGTTAAAAATCACGATCCAAACTATGCCACCCCGTGAGTAATGAGCAAAGTCAACTAATTTTTCTTAATTTATGTGTAAAAAGAAAACTACTAAGAGGGTTATTGTGTTTACAGCGAGTAAACTTGTTCACTGCCTAGGGAATTTGGTAATTGACAACACTAACATCCACATGATCAAAACAAACAAACAACCGTAGGACACGTGCCAGTTAACGACGTCAACGGCCGACGGTGTTCACAGCTGTAAACGCTCTGCCGAGTGCTGAGTTTCACCAGCACACGTTGACGGCACTCTTAAGAACCGTCTACAACGACTTTAGTAGTGAGGACCCCCGCCCCGCCCCTCCGCTATACCTCTCCATCCCCAACTCATTCAACCAGGGAAGCAGGAGAATCAGAAACCTGTCTCTCTCTCTCTCCACTTTCCCTCTCTATTTTCTCCGTTTCACACACACACACACACCAGATATATATACACATATATATATATATACGCGCACACATATAGATTCTCTCTCTCTCTCTCTAAATTGTCTCCGTCTGCCGGTGGTTCGCCCAAGCACGAAACGGTACTGTTCTGATCGTTTCCTTTTCTATGATTTTAGACAAAAAATATGAACAATCGCTAAAATGTTTAGCATGCATAAAATCGAAGAATTTTTGTGGTTGATTATTTGGTAGTATATATGTTTGCTTTTGGGAATATTAGTGAGGTGGATTCATTAGAGATGATTAAGGAAATAATCGGGCGGAATTTGGGGAAAATATATTAGGCAGTGTTATTGAATGAGATTACAAATTAATCGGGGCTACAGTTTCGGATCTCTAGGACCTATGCAGTGTCTGATTATTCGTATTTTTAGGGTTTTCGCGACTCAGACTTGCTCCTACTGCTCAGTCTTCTCCACCTGCCTACTAGCAGTTTTATTCGACTTTTTTCTTTTTACTTAAAAACTTTCCTCTCGCAAATATATTTCTCTTTTTATTTTCCTTTAAAAAATTAATTCTACTTGCTCGTGGTAAATTTTTTAAGCTTGAGTTGTGTTTATAAAGTAAGAATTTATTTAGTTAAATAAAAAATAGGATTATAGATGTTGTCTGTCGATTGCTAATTGTTTCCTTGAATTGTTTTAAGAGAGAGGGGTCTTATTGAGTTGTAAATTTTTATTTTCCAGTATCATGATAATTTTTGCCGACTTGGGAAATTTCAGTTCTGGGAGAAGCTTTTGAAGCGCTGAAATTTAAGGAACAGGGAAGAGGGATTAGGGTTTCAGCTGCTGTGATTCACTGGCCAAATGGTAGAGTTATTGTCTATTAGTCAACCTTAAAAAATGATGAATCTCGTCTATTCTTAGGTTTCCTAATTTTTGTTTTGTCGCTTACTTTGCTTAGATACAACACTGTTCCACCATAACAAAAGATGAATCTTGTCTGCTCTTAGGTTTCCTAATTTTTAGTCCTGTCACTTATTTTGCTTAGATGCCATTACATATGCGTTTTGTGTTGGTCTTGGTCATGGGGATGGCTGGTATTGCCCGTTCTTCTTCTTGACTATTTATGCTTTGCTTGGAAAATGTTAATTGAGATTAATGGAAATTGATGAATTTGAAAGTTTCTGAGAGTGATATGTTGCACTTTTATTTGAACCGTGATCAGGTGGGTAGTTTTAACGTACTTTCACCACCTGTATAGAAAAATATGCTTTCACGTATGGGATTCACGCTTCTTAGTTCGTTATGCAAGAGACCATTGTTTTGCATGGTTTATTTTCTGGCTGTCAAACTATTGATAGTTTCTTTTGTGGTTTCTGCTAGTGATAGTTATGAATGCATCAACTCCTGCTATGGAGACTTAGTTCTAATTTTTATGTTTTTGTTTACAGTTTTCCTATAGTAAGTTTTTTAGGATTTTATTCTTGCAGTGACTATGATGGGATTATTGGCGTGACTGACAGCTGGAGTAGTTTATTGATATAATTTTGTTTATATGAGCAAGCATGGGGTCTGTCTGTTGTGTTGCTGCTAAGGATAGAACGGTTACAAATGGGTCTACCAGTGAAATTATGCACAGGAACATTCGGCATTCCCCATCATGGAGCTTTCGATGGGATAACCGGGTGCGAGTAGTGGGGGAGGAAACTTCTGTAAATTGGATTTCCGATGGGGTCACCCGCAATGATCCACCAGATGTTAAATCTGGACCAACTATTGAAACCACACATGCATCTGAAGAAGGTAGTCCATTGGATAGTTTTCGATCACTTGTATGGCAGAAGTCCCCGGTTTCTGATGTAAATAACGGGGTTACAAGGCTCACTACTTCTGGTACATCTTTATGCTGCTTCTCATCTCATTTCATTTTATAAACGTAACGCTCTCTGAAGAAAAAAAAATACTCTTATGGAGATTACGCAAGTTTTCTTTTCTTTTTCCTACTTGATTGTGTGAGTGCTGTGTTTATTGTTCCTGGGAACTAAACCTAGTATTTTGCAATGTCAGAATTTCGTGAGACACTAAATAATCAGTCCTTGACATAAAAATACATAGTTAAAAGTCCATAGTTATGGTTTTATACTGGGCTAAAAGCAATGCCAATTAGTGCGACAGAAAACATCATTCTAGTCTAAGAATAAAAACTTCAATGTTACACTGAAGTGGCAGTATGTAGGGTGAGGTTCTTTCGATTTCGCACATTCATCATCTATACTGCTGCATATGTCACATATACTAGCTGTACAGAGCAGCTTTAAGGCGAACACACAACTACACAAGCTGATTGACTGGAAAACCAAGTATAGGAAAAGGAAAAGGGTGAACAACTTGTGATTCTGCGTGAGGCAGTCACTATTGATGATTAAGCAGGGATGATGGGTGACTTTGAGAGTAACTTTGTTGGCTACTAAGATAGGTGGTGTTATACTATAATTTAGTCCTTTCCTAAGTAGAATAATACAAGCTTCATAGGCAAATACTTGGTTTCTGTGTTATATGTTTGCATAAATTTTTCCTGATCTCCTCTTAGATAGCAGTTTCATGTGTAATGACGTATGTGATAATATTCAAATTATTGTTGAAGCAAACTATTTTGACAACCAGTGTTACTGATACCATGCTTCAAGGCCACAGAAACTGTTTAACTCAACCATCACTTCGTATCTAAGTCTATCCACCTTATGCACCAGTTGATGAACATGGAGAAGTTTGGAAATATATAATTTCGTATCATTTTGATTGTTCAAGAGTTCTGGAATGGTTATATATACAGGTTTCCTGATTAGTTTAATAGTTTCAAATATCTGATGAGTGGTTTTACATCACCATGACAAACTGAAAAACGGTGGATGTTTCTCTGAGTAGCCAAATAACTGCATAACATCTTCACTATCTAGGTCTACTGTTGAGAAAGTTCGATGGAGACCTAGTGGATGAGGATCAAAGAGTCAGAAATCTTGTGAAGGATTTTAGGCGCATCTTTCAAGGACGAGGTAGTTTATGCCTCAAGCCTTAGTTCATGGGTTGTACATACATACAACCATGAAAAACTTTATGCGTACACAAGCAGATGATAGATGCCAATTCTCATCTTTGCTGTGGTAGTTGATAATTTCCTCTCTTATTTATTCTATGTTAGTGGAGTGATGGGGCTTTCATCTTGCACTTTTCGAATTATTCTCTTGTATCTGCAAATGAAATTAGTTTTTATTTTTTTTAACTCTAAGGGCTGATGGGCAATTATACTCAAAATTTAGTAGTAGTAGGATGGTTTAACAACTGTTTCGTGGAGTGCATTCAAATATTCCATTTGCAACATCTTGCTTCTATTGTGGACATTTGGGAAAATATTTTATTTTACTGCTATGGTGCATCATGGTCAGCCCTGCTGCATTGGGGAAAACACTAATTATTGCTGCATCAATCATGTTATTTAGATGTATCTTGGTGTTCTTTACTGAATAATTAGCAAATTGCCGAAAAAAAGCAAAAAAAAGTCAGCAATTTTGACATCAAATCTTGCCACTTTTGGTAAGGTGGTTTTAAGCCCCGAGGTACCTATTATCTTGTCTGAATTATGATGAATTTTTTTTGGTTGCAGATCCTTTAACCTGTACAAATTCTACAGATGTAAGTTTGAAATAGGTGTAAGATTTTCCATTAGATGCATTCACAAATTTTAAGTTCTTTTTGCCTTGCATCATCCTGATATATCGGTTATTTGTTTCTTAATTAGGTTAGGGAGTCAACTGCATCTCCTGCAGTTTCTTGTCCATCTCCCGTGAAGTTATCTCCTTCAGCACCTTCAGTTTCCTCTCTGTCAACATCACCTTTGTCATCCCGAAGCCACCCGCTTCCTGCAAGCTCAACTCCATCAAGATGGCCTCGCCGTTCTCCTGGGCACCAACTCTTACGGCAAGTATCTGACAGCCTTATTCCAACAATCAAGTCTCCAACTTTGTCAGTTTCTGAAGAAACATCATCTTTTGTGCTTCCTGGATGGAGCCATGAGTCAACTAGGGCTTCCCATGGTGGGTCATCAGACAGTTGGTCTACACCAACCTTCCCTGATATCATGTCAACTTCCCGTAGAGAAAGGTGGTCTTTTGACAGTGAAACATTGGGTTTTGTTCGTGACAAAATAACCAGATCTAGTGGTAGAAATTCTGGTTATTCCTTTGATCTCCAAAGCTGTGGCATTTGTGCGAAACTTTTGACTGAGAAATCTTCATGGGGCAGCCAGAAAATTATAGCAACTAATGAGCTTGCAGTGGTTGCTGTTTTAATTTGTGGGCACGTTTACCATGCAGAGTGCTTGGAAAATATGACCCCTGATGTTAACAAGTATGATCCAGCTTGTCCAATCTGTACCTTTGGGGAGAAACAGGCACAGAAAATGTCGGAGAAAGCTTTGAGAGCCGAATTTGAGTTAAAGACTAGAAAGAGATCTAGGAACAGGATTGCTGATAGTGACCTTAATAGCGATCTTGTTGCTTTTGATCGTCAGAAAAGTAGTGGACGTGACGGAAGAGGTCCTAAGATGAGTTCCAGTTCCAGCATGAAGGACTCTTTGGCGAAGCCTTTCTTGAGGCGTCACTTTTCTTTTGGATCTAAAGGGAGTAGATCAATGTCAGAGAATCATTCTTCCTGGAAGAGGGGATTCTTCTGGGCAAAATCGAGAAAGGATTAAGTTCTGTCTAGAGTTACAAAGGTGAGCAACAGTCTCGGTTTTTTATTAGGGAATGGAAGGATTGGATCCCTTTTCACGTAGTGAACAACATATAGTTTGCATGGTTGGTCTTAGTACCTATAACACGAAAATGTTCTTCATCCGTTCTATTTATCATTAGGCTTTAGTCATTTAAATTTTTTACATCCCGCATTTCTCCTCTTGATTCTTGTTGATTTCTGCAGATTCCACAGTTGTTCTTCAGATGGGCTACGAAATGCATGCAGGGAGCAGGCAATCAGCCATAAATTCAACCCTGTCAAGGAAGCTGGCATTGTCTCGTGCAAATGTAGGTTAGCTTTTGAAGATACACTGTAAAGGGAAGACCATACAGATGGGGAAATGAATTCATTATAATATAGGAAAAAGGAAAGATGATAGGGGTCAGGGTGTACGTGCATCATGAAACTAGTTCTCTTTCATTTTGTACGATGGCTGTTTACTGTTTAATTTCATGAAATTAGTTTGGATATATGCGTAGCGTTTTACCATCGCATATCTAAATCGATATTCTATGGGCCGAATTACGCGTTGGAGACATCATTGGGTTGCTCCTCTCAATCACATGTATAACTATTGACGGATCTGGATCATGATGTTGAGCCTTTCAACTTTTGACTTAGGTGGGATTTGTGTTCTCGTGTTGTTAACTTGTTACTGACCGACTCAGAAGACAGCGGATTCTGACTTCACCACGTGTCTCTTTAGTGAAAATTTAAAAGGCATTTTTCTTCTGTTCATAGTTTAAAAAAAAAAAAAATATATATATATATATATATATATATGAATGTGATTATTAAAAGATCGTTTGGTATTATTTCAAGGATGGATGGATGGATGGGAGGGATATCTGATATATATCATCCCAATCCAAAATTCGGGACCATGACGTATTTAATATCCCCCAGCGGAAGACACGTGCCTTGATGTCTCATACGTGGCAATACACTTCAGCTTCCTCTGCTAATACGTGTGAGGACCTTCAGTACCATGCAGAAAAGACCGCGGTGCTCCTTCCACCGTCCTCATCCCTCTCTTGGCTTTTTTAAGTCTCCTGCGATATCCAAAATCCAAACAAAGCCGTTATCGCAGCTAAAATTCGTCTACCCCAAGTCTCAGGCAACCTTGAATTTCAGTGCCCTTTTTCTTTATTTTTTTCTAATAACAGGAGACCTGGAAAATGGCTGACTTGCGTGATGAATATGGAAATCCTATGCAGTTGACCGACCAGTATGGCAACCCGGTTCAGCTCCAGGACGAGTATGGCAACCCAATGCAGCTTAGCGGTGTAGCTATCACCGCCGGGACGGCTAGTGCTGTCCATTCTACTGGAACCGGACCAACTGCTGCCACTGGAACCCAGCAACATCAGGAGCAGCTTCATCGGTCTAGCAGCTCAAGCTCTGGCTCGGTGAGATACTTGCCAAGTTACAATGTGTGTGTCTGTGTGTGTATAATGCGCCATCATAATTGTTTGCCTGACAGATCCTGTTAATAATGAACCGTAATTTAACGTAAAGTGTACACGTTTTGTTTTTTTTCCTGGAACTTACATAATATCGAATCAGGCTCCTGTTGAATTTGAATGTTGTTAGCTAAAAGAAAATTTTGGTGGTTGAGTTGTTGAATTTGGTTTATAGTCGGAGGATGATGGACAAGGAGGAAGAAGAAAGAAAAAAGGGTTGAAAGAAAAGATAAAGGAGAAACTAACGGGCGGGAGGCACAAGGACAGAGACGATCAGGAGCACATAGATGATCAGCACGCACACAGCGCCTCTCCTCCAACAACCACCACTGGCAGCGGGACGTCTACTACAGTCGGGGGTCAGCACCGGGAACAGCAGCATGAAAAGAAGAGCATGATGGAGAAGATTATGGAAAAGCTCCCTGGCCATCACGACACCCACTAGAGATACCTACCACAACATACTGTGATCATCGTGTAAAATCTCTCCTGATGCCTAGGAAATCTAGATTATGTTAGGCATTTTGTTTGGTATATATGTGTGATTAAGACCTTGTCGTGCGCTTGAATCTTGAACGTGCATGGGATTTGCTTGGTTTGATTTGATTTGGTGTAATAAATTGTACTAGTGTCTACTGTCTTGCCACAATTATATTACAGTATTTCTTAAGCATTGTCTGCAATACCTCGATAACCCTAAGACCGTTTGAAATTTGGTGCTTTACGGATCATGGCAATTGCTTTGAGACAAACTAGCGTTCTAACTTCTAACTAGAGATGGCAAAATGGGTCGGATGAACGGAGTCTTTTTGGGTTTGGGTATGAGATGAAATTGAAGATTAAAGGTTTAGGTCCAATCTTACCCACATGTAAAATTAATTTTGGCGAATCACCTTGGGATAAGTTACGCGAGCTGATATGGACACACTAATACGTACTAATTCTATTTTCTGATGTTGGTTTATCGACATGTACGACCTGCAATTAGCAACATGTGATGAGTTGCAATAATCAAACCCGCAATTAGCAACATGTTATGATCAAAATTGGAAACTCCCCTTGGTATCCCCTTAGAAAAAAAAAAGAAAAATTTAGAAGCCACTTCCGCGTAAAGCTTTTCTGGAACCCAAATTGATAAGGTGGAAAAGCTTTGCTTGAAATGAATCTAAAATTAGGTCAAGTCTTGAACTTTCTTTCATTTCATGTGAACAACTATTTGGATAAGATCTCCTTCATCTAGGCGTTTCTTTTATTTTCTTTCCTTAATTTTTTTTGTGGCTTCAAAATGCGGTAGGGGAAGTGTCTTGATGTCCAAGCTCTGAGGTCATTGGCTAAGAATTTAGAAGGCCTATACATATGATGTCATGTTTTCATTAAACGGTGCGTTGTAAAATCAGTTCTCCACCATGTTTACGTGTATAGGCCTCATATGGATTTGCACCCCGAGTGCATTCGCCGAAAGCAATTCCTACTTTGAGACTGACTACGTTCTCTCTCGTGGTGAAAGCAATTCTTGATCCTGTTTGGTAAATGAGTTTTTTTGGCTGTTTGTCCAAAAATTTATTATCATCTATTATTAAATTTATAGAAAATTTTTTTGAAGTGTCTAAAAATTTTTCTTTTAAGAGAAAAAAAACTTTCCTTCTTTTTCCTTTTCTTTTTTTCTTTTCCTCTTTCTTTTTTTGACTCTTCTTTTCCCCCACCCCATTGCGTTCTTCTTCTGCCTCACTCCTTGCTAATCGGCGCCCTGTCAATTGTAATCCCCCTCCCTCTTCCTCCTTACTCTTCCTGTTGCGATAAAGGAGAGGGAGGGGTGGTTGGGGAAATGAGGGGGAGGAGATGGCAAGGGAGAGGGGAGGAGGAGAGGGAAAGGGGAAAGAAAGGTCACAAAAAAAAAAAGAGGTGCAGCTGGCGGAGATGGTGGTGGGTTGAGATGGGGGATGAGAAGAAGAAAGGAATGAAGGAAACTTTTTTGTGTGTTTTTGGCTACTTTAAAGAGTATAGTTTAAAAATTTTGAGGAGTTTTTTGAAATTACTGTAGTTAAAGTAATTAAAAAATTTGGCCAAAACCTCCGCTTCCAAACCGGGCCTTATTTTGAGACTGACTATGTTCTCTGTACGGGTCGAGTAGTTGGAAGTGTTCTTATTGAAAATCTAATTACTACATTCATTTAATTTGTTTACAATGTCATACAAACAGACTCCTATACAATGCAAGGGACGTAATCTTCTTGTTGTAAAATAGTGTAAGGGTCGAACTTGTCTATTACTAGGTAACGAGATTAATCTTGTAAACATTGATAGTTTATACACATAAAACTCGTCTATTAATAGTTTATACATGTACGAGGGCATTTCACTTCAAGGTTAGCAATCGTGTTGGATAATCAGGTAGATTGGATGTACGAGTATGAGTTGAATTAACATGTCTATCCCACGTCCATAACCCCCATTAAGTACGTCTTTTTTTTAAGGGTAAAATATAAAAAAAGTCCCCTGTGATAAATTTAATATACAGAAAAGTCTTTCGCGATTTCAAAATATACAATACAGCACCCCGTACTTTGAACTAAATTATAAAAATGACGAAATCCGTTAAACTTAACAGAAATGACAATAAATATACCTGTTCTACCTCTTAACACTCAATTCTCTCTATCTAGAGAATAAAACAAATAATTTTTGAATTGTTTTTTGCCTAATTACATCAGGGTATTTTGGTCATTTCGTCTATTTTCATTAAGTTTATCGGATTCTGTCACCTTTATAATTTAGTTCAAAGTACGAGGTGTCATATTGTATATTTTAAAACTATAAGAGGCTTTTCTACCGATTAGGTTTATTACACGAGACTTTCTTTTTTTTACCCCTTTTTTAATAAATAGAAAAGCCCATATCAAGAGAATCCGCTATTGCGTTTCGTCACCCCAATAAATGAATAAATAACTCTGCAAAACGGATCATCGTCAACGTCCACTGTTGATACCGGAAAAAAAAAAAAGCAGCAGCAGCAGCAACAAACCCTCGAAAGTGCTCACCTTCTCCACTCAATAAGCTGCTCTGTTTCTCCTTTTCTTCAAAATCAGCTTTCTCCATTTCTCTCAACCTTTTTTCCCGCCTTTTTAAAGCCCTTATTCACATGCAGCTCCAAATGCTTTCCAACCCTCGGTTCCTTGTTAACCCGAATCGGAACTCTTCTCTCCCTTCTTTTTCTTCTCCTTTCCTTTCTCCTTCCAACAATCTCACCAACTTCTCTTCAATTTTTCGTTCGCCTCCCAATCTACTCTCAGCTTCTCTACAATCCAAAGTCCTCACCTCCGCAAGGATGTCTTCCAAGTCTGCACTTTCCGATAATGCTCAATCTGTTGAGTTAGGGCTCGACGATTGTCAGCTCGATCGCTTCGCAGCTGTTGCTAACCAGCTGGCCGACGCCGCCGGCCAAGTTATCCGCCAGTACTTCCGAAAGAGCTTCGAAATCCTCGATAAAGAGGATTTAAGTCAGTAGTATTCTCCTCCTGATCATTCTCTGCAATTTTTTATTTGCAGCGGGCAGTTAAGATTTGAAGGTTTTTTGTGATACTTTTAGGTCCTGTTACAATTGCTGATCAAGCAGCTGAAGAGGCAATGGTCAGGATTATACAAGAGAACTTTCCTTCCCATGCAATGTATGTTCTCTTAGTTTGGTAGGACATTGCCGGTTGATTTATGGTTTTACTTTTTATCCTTGTTCATACTAGAAATTGGACTGGTACTTTGATTATGAGTGGATAAAGTTCCGTATTTAAACTGGATGGAAAACCTGCCTTCCCAAAATAGTCGTGTTTGCTCTCTCGTGAAATAATCATCTCTGGGTTTTTCACGAGTGAATATCCCATTAAAAAAAAAGGGAGAAGGAATTTATCGTATTTGTTGTTCTCAATGTCTTGATTTTAATTAACCAAAATAACCCTTGGCAACCAACTTGGATCTTTGATGGTTGTTGTTCGAGGCCTTGTGAAATGTTATTCCCAAAAATTATGTAATGAAATGCTAATTGCAGTTATGGAGAAGAGAAGGGTTGGAGGTGTAAGGAGAAAGTTGCGGACTATGTTTGGGTATTGGATCCAATTGATGGAACAAAGAGCTTCATCACAGGTACTGCTCCTTTTCCCCCTTTTACTGTTGACTATTGTTTTCAACTAATTCAGTTCACTGAGCATATTATTTTTTTGCTTGCAATACAGGAAAACCATTATTTGGGACTCTTATTGCTCTATTATACCAAGGAAAACCGGTATGAGAGATGAGCTATTAACCTCTGTTAATATCTTGTCCATCAGTAACTTGTTAATATGCCATTACCTCAAAAAATACTTTGGTCAATGGCCATGTATCTCGTCTCTTACAAAGCAAGTACATTCTTGGGGAAATTTTCTGGGTAGAATCCAAGACAAATAGTTGAGCAAGAAATTTCTCATCAGGACACCAGAATGTAGTCCTGAAACAACTATCATTTTACATGGGGCGAATGAAGTCAGCCAATACATTTGTTTACTCTTTTTAGATAGTGAGCTCTATTATCTTTACACCTGACTTTTGTTACTTGTAGAATGCCCAAATACCTGTACATCTACAATGACCTTAGTTCATTAGGACTTCCTGAGTTATTGACTTTGGATTGTACTGCTGTGTAAATTTGTCTAAATTCTTTCTTCTTTTTTTTTTTAGTTGAATCACCTAAGATTGTGCCAAGCAGCCATCATGTAAAAGAGAACTGTGAAGGATAATCATGTTAAAATATAACCAACAAAATATAGACGTCTTCTCTTTCTTTCAGGTTCTTGGCATAATTGATCAGCCTATTTTGAGAGAGAGATGGGTTGGATTAAATGGGAGGAAAACTACTTTAAATGGACAAGATATATCTACACGTGGCTGTGCAAAACTCTCACAAGCTTATCTGTAGGTTTTATGCATCCGATCATGCTATTTCTCCACTCTTACCTTGTGTTGCATCCATTGTTCTTTCAAAACTTTTTAATTTGTTCCAGCAAACAAATAGGTATTGACCTGAATTTCTGTCTTTGATATTTCCATTATTCTGTCTTAGGTACACAACCAGCCCACATCTATTCAATGGAGATGCTGAGGTGGCTTTTGCTCGAGTCAGGGATAAGGTTCATCCTCTATGTCCAAGAAACAATCAGATAGATGCGTATAAATTTCTATAAACGTTTAAGAATGTTGCGTAACCTGTCATGGTATCAGTTAAGGGTGGTTGCTGTGCATTGCATACATGCACAAGCACAAAAAATGACAGATGCATATAAATTTCTATAAATGTTTTGAGAATGTTGCTCTACTGTCATGGTATCGGTTACTGGTGGTTGCTGTGTGTTGTATACATGCACAAGCATACTATATGAAGATGCAGCACATGAAGATGGTTAACGATCCAGCTTATGTTTATCTTTGTTTTTCTTTCATGTGTTCTTGAAGATTTTTTGTTCTTAGAACTGTTGCCTTGCATTGCTTTTAGGCTCTTTTGATGGACATGCTTTATTTCCTTACAAGCATCTTAGAGTTGTGCTTCTGTTGTAGTTGATAGATATCCTCTTTCACTTCCTTTGTAAGGCAGTTTGCCATATATTGGAAAAACCATTGTTCATGGATCTGCTCTACAGCAATTTCCGATTGAAGAAGCCACAGTATGATTTAGATAATAACAAGCCATTAAGGATCTTAATCTGTTTCAGATTTATTATGGGAGACTATGTACTAATTGATTTGAGGTTAAAGATGCTTGCTTTCAACAGCTAACTTGGAGTATTTGTAGTCCTCTCTCTTTTAGAGAAAGTAAAGATCTAGGATCAAGTGATGATTAAGGACTGTACTACAATACTCTTGGGAAAGTTTATCCTGTGACTCCTCTCCAAAGAAAACTGTGTCCATTGCTTTGAGTTGTATATAGACCTAATATGTATATTTTTAATTGCTTGTGCAGTAGTACATTGAGTTCTCCAAGTATTTATAAGTACAAAATTACATTATTTGTTTGCCTTGTATCTTATTTTCATGTCATGCAGAGATTAAACTCTTTATAGTGTGCACAGTGCCAAGTAATCAGAGAGCATCTGTTTGTTATCAGACGGATGGATTTTTTTTTTGGGTATTTTTAAAAAATTTTACAGTAATTGTGTATATGAAAATTATATGAAAATTTTTTACTTTAGATGTTTTCTGGATTATTTTTAGAGGTATTTTTAAAATATATTTTGAAATATTTTAATAATTATAATTTTTTTGAGGTATTTTTTTAAAAATTTTACATCATCCATCGCCACCACTACTCGCCCTTCTCCTCCCCCCTCTCTCATCTTTCTTCTTTTCCTGCTCCTTCTCTCTCCCTAGACTATAAATATTTTGATAGTCGATACTTATCAGCGTGCTAAAAAAATCTCTTTTCTATGCTTAAGAACCTGTTTTTAATTAAAATGACAATAATTTTTTAATATAGATTGTTAAGTGCCAAAAAGAGTAATTTTGGATATCATCGAGTGGTGTTGAAATGCAAAAAATTATTACCCATTATTTTTATCGTAAATTTTTTATGGTAAAAAAAAAACAAACATGATTGCAAAGGATTCTAGCATTACGAATTTATCTAAACTCGTACCCCTTGACTAGTCCAGGTTACCCCATCTCTAGTGACCTCAAAATTTTGTTAATTGAGATAAATTTTCAAATACATGTTATTGAAAATTAAAACATCTCATAGAGAAGATATATTCACATTTTTCCGCTCTATTTTTATAAGTGATCCTTATTGTGTTCCTTTCAAATCAATTATCAACACTTGATCCTATGAATATTTTCTAACTCACGAAGTCCGCTCCCTTTGAATTTGTTGTTTTTTGAGAGTATTTTTGAAATATTTTACTGTAATAGTGTATATGAAAAGCTTTTGATTATAGATCTTGTGATGTTTTTTGGGATATATTATGGGATATTTTTAAGGCTCACTAATTTTTGTGATATTTTTAAAAAATTACCACCACTCACCATTGCCACCACTTCCTCCTCCTTCTCTTTCTTCTTGCTCCTTCCTTCCCTTTTCTTCCATCTCTTTCCTTCTCATTTTTTTTTCTCCCCTCCACTCTTCCCCTCCCTTTCCCCGCCATTCCTTACCCTTCCCTTTCTTCCCCCTCTAGATCTAGCCAAAACCAAATCAAGACCTTTAGTTATGACATCACGACCATATTGCGATCCTTTTGGTCATGATCTAGCCAGGGACAGATTTGGAAAGGGGGGGAAGAGGAGAGGTGAGATGTGGCGGGAAAGGGAGGAGGAAGAGAGAGGGAAAGGAAAGAGGAGAAATGAGGGAATGGTGGTGATGGGTTATGGTGATAGATGGAAGAAAATATAGTATATATTTTTATTTTTTATATATTTGGAGTTAATTTTTATATATTGTATGGATGTGGTATTTTTTGAGTTATTTTTGTTTGTATATATTATCATAACATTGTATATGAAAAATTTATTTTTTCAAAAAATGAGAAATCCAAACGGAGCCGTTGATATTGGGATTATTAGAAGAGGGTTCAATATTGATTTTGACTTGAGTGTTTTTGCCAAATTGAATAAGTGACCAGACAATTGAAATGCCCAAACCCTAAACGCAAACATGAGCTTTAGAGATCCAACTATAGTATGACACAATACCCTGTACTTTGAACTAAATTGTAAAGGTGACAGAATCCGTTAAACTTAACAGAAATGACTTATTGGAATTTTAAAAAATATTTTTGTACCTAATTTTTAACAAATATACCTGTTCTACCTTTTAACCCTCATTTCTCTCTATCTAGAGAATAAAACAAATGATTTTTGAGTTGTTTTTTGCCTAATTATATCAGGGCATTTTGGTCATTTCGTTTATTTTCATTAAATTTATCGGATTCCGTCACCTTTATAATTTAGTTCAAAGTATGAGGTGTCGTATTATATATTTTGTATTGTATATTTTGAAATTACGAGAGATTTTTCTTCTGTAAATTAGGTTTATTACACAGACTTTCTTATTTTTTTACCCCTTTTTTAATAAATAGAAATGCCCATGTCAAGAGGATCCCCTATTGCGTTTGGTCACCCCAATAAATGAATAAATAACTCTGCAAAACGGATCATCGTCGACGTCCACTATTGATAGGGTAAAAAAAAAAGCAGCAGCAGCAGCAGCAGACCCTCGAAAGTGCTCACCTTCTCCACTCAACTAGGAGGCATGAACGCGCTTCGCGCGATAGAAATATAAAATGCGCTGCCCAGTTTTGAACTAATCAAAATAATAATTTATGTAGAAAAGTATATTTTTTAGTATAGGTATTCTACAAGTCTTTTTTTGTCAGCGAATTTTCGTCTTTGGAGGCCAGAGAAGCTTGAAACACACAAAGTGAAATTCAATAAATTTTCCTAGATTATTGGGTTGCAATCACTTGTTTATGCCAAGTTCTAAATAATTATATACAAATGAGAGATAAATTTGTTCGTTTCATTATAGTTTTGCTCTGTCTACGTATATTAAATATGTATCTTAATTAAAATAACAAAATGATATTTTGTATTTGTTTGTCTCTTATTGATACATTTTGTTTCTTAATTTTAAAAAAAGGTTGGCATATTAATAAAGCTTTATAGTTGATCATTTCATGCAAGATTAGATCTTTTGTGAAATCTTTTTCGTTCTGGTGTTGGGTGGGATGGAAGAAGTAGGGAGTCAAAAGTTGATGGTGATAGAGACAGCGAGATTGTAATGATTCATTCTAAAGTCATAAAGAGCTGGTATTTTATTGGAGAATGAATTTATTTTTATTTTATCCGATAAATAAATTTGTTTATGAAAAAATGGGTACTCTGTTCTTATAATGGAGGAAAGTCATAAAGAACTGGTGTTTTTATTGAAAAACGAATTTATTTTTATTTTATCCAATAAATAACTTTGTTTATGGAAAAATGGGTACTTTGTTCTTATAATGGAGGAAAGTCATAAAGAGTTGGTCTTTTATGGAAAAATATGACTTTTGTGAAAGTGACCGCGATTTGTTTTATAAAATTATAAACAAAAAATTAGAATGAATTTGTTTATTTTGAAAGTTGTATAACGGTCGTTAAACTTCAAATATCCCTTCCTTAAACTTCAAAAAAAAAAAAAAAGAAACTGGGCAGGGCACTCAAAATCTTCTCAACGAATTTTCGTCTTTGGAGGCCAGAGAAGCTTGAAATACACAAAGTGAAATTCAATAAGGCACTTCACATTAAAAATGACATTACTTGTTTTTGTATATAAAAATGACATTAATTGTTTTGTATATAAGAAGGCATTTTCTTTTAGACACGTTAACAATTATGATATACCCAACACTTTTATAGGTTATACAAACGTCATAAAAAGAAAATTAAGATCTAAATTGTGGAACTGATTATAAATTAATTACTGTTGAAAGTATATTTAAACTATTAATCTAATCTAGGACGAACACAAAAAAAATGAAAAAGCAATGTGCAAAAAAAAGGAGGTCCAAGAATTGAACTTATTTCAAAAATAATGAACCAAATAAAGAATCAATTTTAGGAAAGCTCTATAATCTCGCCTTACATTACTTTCAACTTTTTCTCTATATGATTTCTTGATTCTTAACCCCAAAGTCTTTTTCTCCCATCAAGAATGCTTCAGAAATTATATGATCAATGTTCACTTGCAAATTGTGACTGCTATTCATCAGCGATTGAGTGGGTTTCAACTTCATGAGCTAGGAAAGAACATCTTCCCGAGCTTCTAATATACCATTTTCACATTGTACCCTTACCATCATTCAACCAATGTTCAAGCAGAAACATCTATCTAAGCAAATAGAACAAAATATGTTCAGAGAAAGTCACTAACTACATGGAATACAAAAAATGTACAAAACATCATGATCCATAAATACATATAAAAAGAGTAAGGTATATACAAACTGAAATGGCAACAACCTAGCTATTACAGAATCTGTGCTTGAATCCACTAACAACTATAACTACATAATACACATTAACTAAAAAACATCCAATGAAACTGCACTCATAATCAAACGACATGAATGCCTAACACAGGACAACAGATTCCTTCCTCTTTACTGCTTAGCCACATGAGCACTCAGTTCAGCATTCTGCAGCAAAAAATCAGAAACATAATCATAAAATGCATAAGCATAAATAACCAATGAATTCCTAGTCTGTACACACACTATTTATTCAGTCAAAAGCATTCAAAATCATTCAAGAAGAATAAGTGTAATCATTCAGAGTCTGTAATCATTTAGCTTTGATGTGCTAAAAAAGTTAAATGAAATAAAAAGCTTGTGAACTTGGGATGCTCTAAAAGCCAACAATGGTCCATATCCTTTCTTCTAGCGCATACAAACTGAACCAATCTAATAAATAATCATGACAATCATCCAAGTTCATTTCATGAAAAGCAATTGTAAGAAAAAGACGAAACACCATCTACTTAACTCTTTCAAAATTCCTTGATAGATAAATAAGATAAGATAATTCAAAAATTAAGATAAGACAGCTTTTTTCTTAAAAAATAATGAAAAAAAGGCTGAAAAAATAGTACAACAACTCAAGGTATATGCCTAACCTCATTTTTTCTAGGTAAGATTTGTTTTTCATGCAAAAGTTCAGCAGAAATACAGCCAACTAACCACATGTCTACTGCCGAATCATATTTCGTAGCTCCAAGAAGCAACTCTGAAGGTCTGCTCAATACATAGATGAGTAAATTTTCTTGATTGAAAATTAAGTTATAATATCAAAGACATGGGTCAGCTATAAGGGAAAATCATCATCCATGGACTGTGGTTATTGGAGAATGATTATGGTAGTCCAAAATCTGCTAGCTTCAGGTTTCCCTTATATCTATGAGCATACTGGAGCCTGCCAAACCAAAAACCAGAACATAGTATCATATGCACACCTAAAATCCTAGATAATATGTTTAGAAAAGAATAAAAAAGTTAACCTTTGATATCTGCACGTTATTGAGATGACAGTAGTGAAGAACAGTAAGCAGCTACTTCATATAACACTACAAATACATATTATTAGAACAAGTTGAGTGATGGATGCTTTGTTGACAAAAAAAAAGTGATGGATGCTCATTATAACGAGTAAATCCTCCTTGTCCAAGGTCACATACATTGATATGTTGAATTGTAAATCTCAATTCAGGATAATCAGCAAGTCCCGTCAAGCTATGGTCCATATACCCAAAAATCATGTAAATACTGCCTTTGTATCTATTACCTTATACATTTCAAAAACAAAATACCATTTTCGATCTCAGTATTTGGGAGTTCAGGGGCATTGAATTCTTACAGAAACAGGAACCACAAACTTGAAAATTTCTGCACGTCTAGTTACCTTGATTCACTTGCTTATCTACCTCATGATCTGAAAAAGAGTTTATTATATGTAAGACAACAAAACATATAGTATATGTTTGATGTTTATGAATTAAATAACCACTCTGAACATATGGAGAAGGATGAGTACCAGGAGAGGCCACAATCTCTTTCAGTTTAATGACATTTTCATGCTACAACTTCCTTAGAATTTTTATTTCATGCATGGCAGTTACAGGAAACTACAAGAAAAAATTATGAGTGTTCTAAAAAGAGCAGGCATAACCATTCATCCACTAAGGAAATTAAAATGTCATAAGCTAAGAAAATAAGAAATTGGGTAGAATAACAATAACCCTTCTTTTTCATTGTCCATGCGTATCTTCTTTAAAGCAACAACTTCTCCAGTTTTGCTTTCTTTGGCCATATATGCTTGGTTGAAAATTTGAGAGGAAAAAGAAAAACCATGGACTAAAAAGAAAAAATATAAAATAAAAAGAAAAAAAAAGGAAGCTAAGCATCCCAGAATGATGTGATAACAAAAATACAAACAATAATCAAAATTCATGTAACCATCTAAAAGGCACAAGAGAAGGAAACCTTTAAAATCATCAAAAGCAAATCTAACAAAACAGAACTCAAATCTAAGAGGGGAAGAAAATGAGACAGATAGAAACATAGCAAAATCTTTTGATACAACGAGAGGGGGAGGAGAGAAAGCAGAAGTAGGAGAATGAGAGAGGTAGGAATGGGAGAAAAGATAGAGGAAGTTTGAGGAAGAAAACTGCTGAAAGCGGTAGATTAGTGGAACATTGAACTGGAAATATTATTGGTCACATAATTACTAACCTTCAACTCAACTGATACTTATCCACATACAATTCCAAATTATTTCATTGATAATGCAACTAATCATTCAACCTAATTATTTCCTCACACAACGAGTAAACCAAGATCTCAAAATTTGAAATATGCATTTCATTTGTTGCAAAAAATGAGAAAGAAGAGGAAACCAACAAAAAAAACACCAAACCACCAAATGCAACAGGCCAAGCTATTAAAAACCAGTAAATTAGACCAAATTCCCAACACCATTGTCGCCATATTGCGACCAGGAAATGCAAAAACGGAAAACATGTACCTCAGGAAACCCTTCGAAAAGTCAATGAATAGCATCCGAACATCGAATCTGCATAGCATCAAGAAATAGTTGAATTAAAGAACTATTTGTACAGAATTATCTCAAGCTACAATCCACAATATACCATCAAAATAAACAAGCACTTGCCTCTCCAAGACGATCTCTTGCAACAAATTCTGACGGGCTCAACTGATTACACAACACCCATGAATCTCAGCACTATCCTGGCCATGGATTCTTAAACATTGCCAAACCCTATCCATTTCAAACCTGGACAGGATTAATCAAATCAAAAAATCAATTTACTCTAATTCAAACAAAAATTGAAATATTCTTGGTTCTTACCTCATGGCACATGTGCTTTATTTGTTTCCTTGCAAGAACCAAATGTACCGAAACAGCGCAGCACGGGGAAGAAAAAGAAGAAGAAGAAAGCTGCGGCGGCCGAAGGTTTAAGAGCTTACTGTGGATTAGGTTTCTGCGGAGCCGCCCACATTTGGAATGGAAAAGCTTGTTTGAGACCACATTTAAGAGAGAATGAGAAATTTGGTGGCCTTCACAAGCCAACGAGAAAAGCAAAATCAAAGGAAAAGAGGAAAATCACCAAGCTTTAAAAAGAAAACGGGTTCAACTGAATGGAGTTGGCAGAAGAAAGCTGAAATTAACCTATTGCTAATGAAAATGATGGAGACTAAGCAGAAATTAGGTCCAGAAATTAAAAAAAAAAAAGAAAAGGCAGAGGAGAGGAGGGGCGGCGCTGTCTCTGCAAATGGGAATGATGCTGTAAAGTAAAGGGAAGGAGGAAAGGGAGTAACTGAATGGAGTTGGCAGAAGAAAGCAGAAATTAACCTATTGCTAATGAAAATGATGGAGGCTAAGCAGATATTAGGTCCAGAAATTAAAAAAAAAAAAGAAAAGAAAAGGCAGGGGAGAGGAGGGGCGGCGCTGTCTCTGCAAATGGGAATGATGTTGTAAAGTAAAGGGAAGGAGGAAAGGGAGTAATGGAGGTATACGGATAGGGCAAGGAGAGCAAAGGGGAAAGAAGGGAGAGCAGGAGGAAGAGCGGCGGGAGATAAGATACGATACTCTTAGGGTTAGAAAAAAAAAACCAAAAAAAAAAAAAGAACAGGCAGAGGTGAGGAGGATCCCGCGCGATGCGCGGAAAGGATGAGGGGGTCACGTGAGGACGACGAAATCACGAGCGGAACGACGAAACCCTTCGCACTTTATCTACTTACTAGGAGGAGAACACCGCGCACCGCGCGGTGTAATTTTCAGACTTGCCCAGAAATGCGTAGTAGGATTTCATATTATTCCCCATTTATGCCCAGCGTGCAAATGCAAATGGAAAATTACTGTACATCCGAAGGTGAAAAAATATTTGCAAATGCTACCAAATATTCTCAACCTTGTGTAATCATGCCTGTTCAGGCAACAGCATGAAAGAATACAACTGCAAACTGGAACAATGAAGAACATCTCGCAAAACTGCAGGTCTGGTCTTACCATTAGGATTGGACTCACAATCTCATCTTTGAGTATAGTCTATTAATGAGACTTGCCAAATGTCGTGCTCTTCTTCTCCCACCATTAGTTTAAATACCTAATATTCACAATTCATAAATTGCATCCAAATTAATTGACTATATAAGAATTATATCCGAATCCACAGCAATCATCATAAAAAATAATAATAACTACATAATTTTGGAATAGTTTTGGAAATTACATCTCATTCAAAAACCAGCCATGCCACGTTTTTCTCAATTGGAGGCAAAGTCTACAAACTCACCAACAAACTATTACAACCCTCGGCTAAGTTCACAAAGATGTTCCGAATTACAAATGCTTGTAAAACTCAAGAGGACCGTCTTGCATGGTTCGTTTGGACATTTTATTGAACACTTGTACGAGATGAAAGTGGCATAACAAAATATGCATGATGAATTGACCAATCTTTCTCAATTTTCATATATATATATATATATATATATATATATTTAAGCACTAATATATATATATATATATATATTTAAGCACTAATATCATTTTCCCCCAAAACTATATAGTTTCAATTTCAACACCAGGCAGTAAAAATAAAATCTCTTGATCACAAGGTAAAACATCAATGAAAAGAAAGTACCCAAACAAAAAGGAGAAAAAAGAACTGTTAATAGAATACTGCTTGTAATTGCACCGATAGGAAGACATATTGATCAAGACATAGTGAGAAGAATAGCTGCAACTTACAAGTGGGTAGAGTATAGCCATAACTCCATAGCTAACCAGAGGAGAAAAAGAATACAGCTAGAATACAAGGGGATCCTAAAAGACAATTATAAAAATACAAACGAATAATCAATAATGCATCTAAAAAAAACAGCAAAAGACTAAAATAAATGTATTCTAATTGCTTTGAATTTCAAAGCATCCCTCACAAATTTAAAAAGTTTTCTTCTGCCAAAAGGCTTCAGCTGCATATATTCATCAAATAAAATCTTCCCTGTTTGCTATGAGAGACTGCATAGTGACTTCAGTGACTAAGAGCATTAGTACTTTCGCATCTTTTGTCAATAAAAAAAACTTCCATTTAATAGAAACTAATCATATAAAAGTTTGACAACCTCAACCATTCAGCCGTGTACGAACCAAACTACCAATGCAGGTGAAGGATATAGAAAACAAAAAACAATGATCATCTATATGACGCAGGTAATAATTTACTTAATCACCAACAAATTTGACTGAGAAATCCAAATTACCGTGCAAGCATTAGAAAGGGAAGAACACACAACAAGACCTACTTATAAACAAAGACAGAGAATCAACGCCTAAAGCCCCACTACCTTCAATAATATTTTGTCTAGGAATATGATCCGGAATTAGACTTCTTATAGCATATCACAAAATAAAAGAGGCGTGCAGGGGAAATTTTTATTGGGGGCTGGAAAGGGGAGAGGAAAAAGAGGAACAAGCTGGGTCAACAAGAATGCAGTAGTTTCAAGTTGAAAATACACAGTTCAATGACATTCTAGTAATTGTAAACATGTTAATAGGATCATCAAATAAACTATATGTAATTTTCTGGAGTGGAAATTCTAAAGGAGAATTTAAACTCCAATTAGATTTTAGCAATATGTATTGAAACAAAAGGAAAATAATAAAGAAAATTTTACTAAAACCAGCAAAAAAATCCAGTTTGATTAAAAAAAGGCCAGCCTCTAGTCCAAACTCAAATCCGAAAAATTCCATTCATATCTGAGAAACATAAAATTAAGGACACGATCTTTTATCTAAATTATAGCAGATAGGACACAACAAATAAATATTAAAATTCCACCACGTACTCAAAACAATAGTAAGCATACATCCATGAAAGAAGCAAAAAATTTACTGCTTTTTCAATATAGGAAATAAATGCAATAACATAAACTTGTAGGCAGCCTAGAAGGCAAGCGCTAATTATCATTAAATCACAAGAATTGAGAACTTTATCTTCTTGAAATATTAAAATGTATTTCACCTGGAAGAAGAAACTTAATAGGAGTATTGAGCAAACAAAATCTTCATCATTTGCACCTGCAAAACCAGAAAAATACATTATTAACGAAAATAAATTCATAAAAGAATAGAAAAGAAGAAATTTTGAAAAATAGAAACCAAAGGCTAAGAAATATGCGCATGTCACCATTTAATTTGAGAGCAAGAAGAAGAAACACTAACATCATAACAATCCCGAAATGTTCGGGAACACTTAACTCACATTTCATGTTCAGTCAACCTCTCTTGGTCCTAGCAGTATGCAACAAAATTAGCAAAGGCTACAACAACACATTAAGGATCTTATCAGGAGTGAACAAAGGACATCTTAATTCAAATTTCAGGTTGTCTATGATGTGGCGATTGACATGATGATATGCCCCTTGTATCCAATGCTCTTAGCAATTAAGAACACCTAAGAAAGTGCTTAAAATGTTAAATTTGCACCCAAAAAGAAAGGACTTGGGAAAGTGCAATACTCACAAGTGTGTCCACCGGGAAATTATCTTGTGTAAGATGAAATAATAAGACACATGGCACCTATTTAGCACAAAAGTTTATTAAATCCATCGACAAACACCAGGCCACGTAATTATTTCTTGAAAGGTTTGGATTACAAGCTATATTATAAACTAAGTACTTTTATATCATTGTGGTCCATTTTTCTACACAAATTCAAGTTCTATGGACGTTACCAGTGAATACACCAACTTCACAAACACATCTTTGTTCAAAATCCATTAGTTCTAAGAAGAAGAAACATTATCACTTGTAGAGCAGCATGAACCGCATCATTAGTATATGTCTTCTTCTTACCTTTATAGCTTATAATAGTTGACAAAGTATATAACTTTTAGCTATCCACTTGAAAAATAGATGGACTTGCTTAGGGAAACAAAAAACATATATAACAAAATTAAAGAAAAATACATGGCTGACAGCTGAAATCTAATTAAATTAGACAAAGGAAAGAGAGATCAAAAGACCCAAATATCCCAATATGCACACAATAAAATGCAGTATAGCCCCAATCTTCTAGACTCGTGGGAAATCATCATGACTCCTAAAATCAGATTTTGACATCTTTTTTGTTATTTTGGCTTCAAAAAATTCTGTAAAAAAATTTCACCATTCTAACAGATGAAGAAACTGGAAAGATCAACAAGCAATTAAATTGCAAACTGAACTAATTGTAATTTCTCGTGACCCCTCTCTCTTTCTGGACCCATCACAATCACAAAAAAACAACCAGTAAAATCAAAATAACCATCAAGTAATAATTGGAGACTAAAACTATAAGGAAAAAAAATAAAGAATCACAGCCAAGAAAAATATACACAATGATAGAAAAGAAAACCTTAGAAGTCACTTGATTACCATGCACAAGTTTGATTTAGTTAAAGTGAGCGCGTCAGTGAAAGCTCACCTGCGAAGGAAAAACAAAAAATTTTAGAGAAAGAAAAATCAACCAATAAGTTTGCTAATATTCTCTTGAGAGCTTTAGCTCATAGAGAGGGCATTTAGAAAAAATTGAAAATCAGCAATTTAAACAAACGTGGTCATATATCTCCATTGTTGAGAGCACCATAATAATTCTTACAAACTGCAACAACACAATTGAAAAGCAGTAGCTACAAAACATGAACTTTGGTATTTAAGACCACGTTTTCTTATCCTCTATTTCACAAACTCAAAAATGGAGATTTATACAAACGCTACCTGTTTGTTTTGGCATTTTGCAAATAAATGATCCAGTATGCTGTGCTACTTGAAGTGAATGATTAGGAAATAAGCTCAGGGGAAATTTTGAAAAAATCATAGAAAACTTTTCAGCAAGGAAAGCAGATATTAAGACATTAAAATCCATTATATTTTCATGAGCTCTTTTAGCCTTGAAGATAAAAACATGAAATCAAACAAAAAGGTAATAACCTTTTTTTGCCACGTTTAATGAGTTCTTCGACCTTAAAGATGAAAACCTGAAATCAAATATAAAGGTAGGAACTACTTTTTGCTACTCATATATAGAGAAAAATATATAGAAACCATAACTACAAATTAAAAAAGTGGACAAAAAAAATCCTCCAAATATAAACAGCAGCAACACCTATAACAATAATAAAAAACTTAAAATAGAGCTCAGGAAAAAAAATAAAAGTAAGCACGGATGCAAAAATTAGAAAACTCACCATCAGGAAAGAGAATGCCGGAGAGAAGAAGGACCAAAAATTTTCTAAAAAGAAAAAGGCACATATCAATAACAAGTTAGAAAAAAACACAAGAAAAGAATAATCACACAACAATAAAGGTAATAGTGTATAGGAAAAAAATCGATAATAAAAAAAGTATTTGTCAGATCTTAAAGATAGAAGGGAAAAATAGCCGACTCTCCAAGATAGAAACAAAATGATCACCAATTAATTTGTAGGAAAAAACTCAGGTCTACCTTTTTTCTCATGAAATATGAGACGAACAACTGTTGCCTTCCAATCTGCCCAAAAAAAAAGAAAGAAAAAAAATGATTGAGTAACCTGAAGTAATCATAATTTTTCCCTCTTGTATTAAAAAGATAACTCTATTAAATGAAACAGGAAACATCGAACAGTAGAAAGTTGTAAAAAAAAGAATGCAAAATTTGAATCCCAAGACTGGAGCAAAAGCTAGTGAATTTCTAATATCTGGGCATCCCTAAATTTGATGCAGACCATCCAAATTAAAATTGGGGGTGTAAAGAAGATGTCTTTGGGATGAATATTAGAGCAGATGGGTTCGAGGAATCATGCGAGGAAAAATGAAAAGGGGAAAAAAAGATTTTTAATATGGTTGAGTAATCTGAAGAAAAAATTATGATAGAGTAACCTAAAGTAAAATAAATGTTTGCCTCCCATTCACTGTTATCACTTTGATCAATGGAGAGTAATGGAGCTGGAGCCACGAAGAGGAAGATTTGGACAACAGCGAATCAAGGAAAGGGAAGAAGTGAAAATGAGAGAGAAAAGACGGAGAAAGAAACCGAGAAGAAGGATTAGATAGGGAGGCGCAGAAGAGATTCTCGGGCAGCAGCTTCAGAAACCCTATCTATTGAATGCGGAGGTGAAATCTCGATTTTGTCCTCAATTCAATTCATTATCCCAATCAATGGAGGACTACCATCAATTGGCCAATCAGAAGATGCCACGTCAGCAATTGAAACTCAATTGGGAAGCCATGGCATTCGCACATAGACTATATATGTTAATTATTATTATTATGTTGATAAGCTGCTCTGTTTCTCCTTTTCTTCAAAATCAGCTTTCTCCATTTCTCTCAACCTTTTTTTGCCGCCTCTTTAAAGCCCTTATTCACATGCAGCTCCAAATGCTTTCCAACCCTCGGTTCCTTGTTAACCCGAATCGGAACTCTTCTCTCCCTTCTTTCTCTTCTCCTTTCTTTTCTCCTTCCAACAATCTCACCAACTTCTCTTCAATTTTTCGTTCGCCTCCCAATCTACTCTCAGCTTCTCTACAATCCAAAGTCCTCACCTCCGCAAGGATGTCTTCCAAGTCTGCACTTTCCAATAATGCTCAATCTGTTGAGTTAGGGCTCGACGATTGTCAGCTCGATCGCTTCGCAGCTGTTGCTAACCAGCTGGCCGACGCCGCCGGCCAAGTTATCCGCCAGTACTTCCGAAAGAGCTTCGAAATCCTCGATAAAGAGGATTTAAGTCAGTAGTATTCTCCTCCTGATCATTCTCTGCAATTTTTTATTTGCAGCGGGCAGTTAAGATTTGAAGGTTTTTTGTGATACTTTTAGGTCCTGTTACAATTGCTGATCAAGCAGCTGAAGAGGCAATGGTCAGGATTATACAAGAGAACTTTCCTTTCCATGCAATGTATGTTCTCTTAGTTTGGTAGGACATTGCCGGTTGATTTATGGTTTTACTTTTTATCCTTGTTCATACTAGAAATTGGACTGGTACTTTGATTATGAATGGATAAAGTTCCGTATTTAAACTGGATGGAAAACCTGCCTTCCCAAAATAGTCGTGTTTGCTCTCTCGTGAAATAATCATCTCTGGGTTTTTCACGAGTGAATATCCCATTAAAAAAAAGGGAGGAATTTATCGTATTTGGTGTTCTCAATGTCTTGATTTTAATTAACCAAAATAACCCTTGGCAACCAACTTGGATCTTTGATGGTTGTTGTTCGAGGCCTTGTAAAATGTTATTCCCAAAAATTATGTAATGAAATGCTAATTGCAGTTATGGAGAAGAGAAGGGTTGGAGGTGTAAGGAGAAAGTTGCGGACTATGTTTGGGTATTGGATCCAATTGATGGAACAAAGAGCTTCATCACAGGTACTGCTCCTTTTCCCCCTTTTACTGTTGACTATTGTTTTCAACTAATTCAGTTCACTGAGCATATTATTTTTTTGCTTGCAATACAGGAAAACCATTATTTGGGACTCTTATTGCTCTATTATACCAAGGAAAACCGGTATGAGAGATGAGCTATTAACCTCTGTTAATATCTTGTCCATCAGTAACTTGTTAATATGCCATTACCTCAAAAAATACTTTGGTCAATGGCCATGTATCTCGTCTCTTACAAAGCAAGTACATTCTCGGGGAAATTTTCTGGGTAGAATCCAAGACAAATAGTTGAGCAAGAAATTTCTCATCAGGACACCAGAATATAGTCCTGAAACAACTATCATTTTACATGGGGCGAATGAAGACAGCCAATACATTTGTTTACTCTTTTTAGATAGTGAGCTCTATTATCTTTACACCTGACTTTTGTTACTTGTAGAATGCCCAAATACCTGTACATCTACAATGACCTTAGTTCATTAGGACTTCCTGAGTTATTGACTTTGGATTGTACTGCTGTGTAAATTTGTCTAAATTCTTTCTTCTTTTTTTTTTTTTTAGTTGAATCACCTAAGATTGTGCCAAGCAGCCATCATGTTAAAGAGAACTGTGAAGGATAATCATGTTAAAATATAACCAACAAAATATAGACGTCTTCTCTTTCTTTCAGGTTCTTGGCATAATTGATCAGCCTATTTTGAGAGAGAGATGGGTTGGATTAAATGGGAGGAAAACTACTTTAAATGGACAAGATATTTCTACACGTGGCTGTGCAAAACTCTCACAAGCTTATCTGTAGGTTTTATGCATCCGATCATGCTATTTCTCCACTCTTACCTTGTGTTGCATCCATTGTTCTTTCAAAACTTTTTAATTTGTTCCAGCAAACAAATAGGTATTGACCTGAATTTCTGTCTTTAATATTTCCATTATTCTGTCTTAGGTACACAACCAGCCCACATCTATTCAATGGAGATGCTGAGGTGGCTTTTGCTCGAGTCAGGGATAAGGTTCATCCTCTATGTCCAAGAAACATTCAGATAGATGCGTATAAATTTCTATAAACGTTTAAGAATGTTGCGTAACCTGTCATGGTATCAGTTAAGGGTGGTTGCTGTGCATTGCATACATGCACAAGCACAAAAAAAGACAGATGCATATAAATTTCTATAAATGTTTTGAGAATGTTGCTCTACTGTCATGGTATCAGTTACTGGTGGTTGCTGTGTGTTGTATACATGCACAAGCATACTATATGAAGATGCAGCACATGAAAATGGTTAACGATCCAGCTTATGTTTATCTTTGTTTTTCTTCCATGTGTTCTTGAAGATTTTTTGTTCTTAAAACTGTTGCCTTGCATTGCTTTTAGGCTCGTTTGATGGACATGCTTTATTTCCTTACAAGCATCTTAGAGTTGTGCTTCTGTTGTAGTTGATAGATATCCTCTTTCACTTCCTTTGTAAGGCAGTTTGCCGTATATTGGAAAAACCATTGTTCATGGATCTGCTCTACAGCAATTTCCGATTGAAGAAGCCACAGTATGATTTAGATAATAACAAGCCATTAAGGATATTAATCTGTTTCAGATTTATTATGGGAGACTATGTACTAATTGATTTGAGGTTAAAGATGCTTGCTTTCAACAGCTAACTTGGAGTATTTGTAGTCCTCTCTCTCTTTTAGAGAAAGTAAAGATCTAGGATCAAGTGATGATTGAGGACTGTACTACAATACTCTTGGGAAAGTTTATCTTGTGACTCCTCTCCAAAGAAAACTGTGTCCATTGCTTTGAGGTGTATATAGACCTAATATGTATATTTTTAATTGCTTGTGCAGTAGTACATTGAGTTCTCCAAGTATTTATAAGTACAAAATTACATTATTTGTTTGCCTTTTATCTTATTTTCATGTCATGCAGAGATTAAACTCTTTATAGTGAAATTTAATGTGAATGCCTTTCTGGAGCAGGTGAAAGTTCCTTTATATGGTTGCGACTGTTATGCCTATGCCCTATTAGCCACTGGTTTTGTTGATCTCGTGATCGAATCTGGCCTAAAGGTAATTGTACTATTATTTCATGTTTTTCTCTACTGCAAGATTTCTTCTATGAACCACCAATGAAGTATGGATGTTTCTATTCTTGTAATTGAATTTAGAATACCTGCTTTGACATTAAGGTGAAACTCTCTCCGCACTTGGTGTAATTGCTATTGAATTTACCGGTGAGATGTTTCGGCATCTTTAAAGATCTCATTCATCTACTAAATTGACAAAGTTAAAACAATTTTTCTCAGCCTTATGATTTTCTTTCACTCATCCCGGTGATAGAGGGTGCCGGTGGAATTCTAACTGATTGGAAAGGACGTGAACTTGACTGGAAGGCATCTGCTGATTCTCATGCAGGAAGTATGATTTGATAGACATCTGATTTATGATTTTTGTTGCAGTATGTGATGTGACCTCGTAATTGTTAAACAAAGGGTATCCTCCCTCCAAGTTAGGGGAGGAAACCCAGTATTCTTCACAAAAAAGAACTGGGCTTTCCAGCCCTTGATGGAGAAGGCATATGAGTGAACAGCTCGCGGGTAGGGAGTTCCCCTCCGCTCCTGCGAGCAAAGTAGAACCAACCATGAACTGGGCCGCTTACCTTCATCTGAAAGAAGGACCTAAATAAGTTCAGGGAATAAGGGATTTCAAGAGTTCGACACAAAATAAAGAAGCCGAGGATGGACCGAATAGCGTTGGGAACGACCTGGGTGATTCGAATGCCCCAGAAGGTTAGGATGTCATAAAGAAATTGGGGAATGGGAAGGCGAAGACCAGCCACGAGCTGATCCCTGTAGATAGCTACAAACCCAGGGAGAGGTTGGCAAGCGTACTCCCCTAGCCGGGCTGCCCTAGCCTCGAACTGGGGAAGGATGTCATACCTCCCCACCAGCTCATCTACGTCCCCCTGGTCGAGAAGGGGGGAATAATTTCGACTTCTCCAAAGTCGATGTCTGGCCCCCTAGGGGGTCCTGCCCTAGAGCGAGCTGGAACTACCTCCAGAGGAATCCCTGGGACAGCAGCTCCAGTCCCGAGCTGAGCAGATGGGCCAGGTTGGTCCATGGCTATAGCAAGAGGTGGGGTTGGGGGAGGAAGGTATTCAGAATCAGACGAGCTGGAAGAAGAGGGGCTGGAGGAAGGTATTTCTATGAGTGCAGGTCGGGTAATCCTACGCCTAGGTGCTGAGCTGGTAAGGTCTGAGTGTGTGGAGGAAGACGACATAAAAGGAAAAGGAGGACTTACTGGTGGATAAAGGAGAAGAGCTGGGATGTGCTTAGAAGGTAATCCTACTCTCGGACGACCTCACGGAATGCGGAGCGAGCTGAAGAAGACTGGAGGAGAAGAGAAAATGAGAAGGGAGGCTTGAAAGTGACGTTTGGTGGGGCCTATTTATAGGCTCCCTGGGCGGGAAGCCGAAGAGTCCTGAGGAAGAAATTCGAATTTATTGCAAGGGGGCGGTTACCTTGGAAAACGCTTGAGCTGACAAAACCTCCATCATGAAGGACGTGACCCTTGAAGTGACGGTTACGACGGCGGACGTGGCAGTTTTTAGGAGAAGGTACGTGATCGTGGGATCGTGGGTCCCGCACGAAGCCGACGTGACGCTTCGAAGTTTGGTCCAGACCCACGTGACTCATCAGTGACTCTAGACTCAAGGGGGCTAGTGTAGTGGGACAAATCTGCACGTGACACGTGTCAGCTCGGCAGGTTGTACGCGTCAGGTCGACGGTGGAGACCTCACGACTCGCAGGCGCTAGCTCGGCATGTGGATGCCAGCTCGGCCTTACCTGTCGCTCCCTGAGATGGGCCTATGGGCCGCCGCCTCCGAACTTGTAGGAGCCGCCGCACGAAACCCTAAGAAGACTCCGAACCCTACGGGGATTCTGACTTCCACAAGGAAACTACAACCCACTCTGCCCTATATAAACCATGCCTAGAGACAATACAAGGTACGCAAACACGAGTACTCTAAACTATCACTTTGTGGACAAGCTTACTGACTTGATCGTCGGAGTTATTTCAGGGACGCCAGTCCCGCAATTCCCCCTTTCCTTCACAGGACCAGTAGCTCAGCTAATCCTCCCAGGACGACTTGGCCCGGCTTGCTACAGGTCAGCTCGGATCTGATTTTTGGCAGTCGCATCAGCCTGAGCCGTCAACACGCGGGAACCACCACAATTCATCTATGTAAGCCCAAACCGAAAAAAAAAAAAAAAGAAGTGCTCAGCAGCTTCAACCAATACTGTGATGATTCAGACTCGTAACCCGTCCATTACAAAAGCATTTTATCAATTAAACTGCTCAGAAAGTGCTTATGAATGTCAAATTGGAGTGAATCATTCAATCAAAACTCATACCTACACTACATAGAGGCCTTGACTATTCTTGAATGCAGAGACTTCTCATTTGCTCTTTCTTAATCCAAACACAACCTAAAATAATTGTGGACACCAAACGGAAAAAAAACAAAGAACAGTTAAAAACAATCATATGACTTGAATAAAATTCTTACCCATTTTCAACATAATTGGAAATGCAAATAGTAGATAGTGATATATTCTGGTACGTGGATTTATGCGTATAGGAATTCCATGTCAAATGACATCAAACTCCTTTGTCATATATTTCTTTTCTGCTGTCGAGGGCTTTCACTTTTTTTTTTTTTTTTTTTTTGCATTTGATTATTACCACCTAGTGGAATGGTCATTTATTAGGGTTAGACTGTCGGATTCAATAAACTGATCTGGAGCCTTTTGATAAATGTTTATCAAGGTCGCTGTAATTATAATTAGCTAGTTAATGGTATTTGGTTTTTCTTGAAACATATAGTAGAATGTTTGGTACCTAAAATTTAAGCATAGGTTTTACATTTTTTCCCCTCTTTTTTGTACTCCTTTCTCTTCTATAGTTCCTCCACTTTCTCAATTTCCTCTAATATTTCTTTATCTTTTTTAATTTTAATTAAAACATCGGTAGGTAGCCACTAAAAAGTAGAGGGTCGCAAAATCCATAGACTTATCATACCCATTAACTCATTTCGATTAATTTTAACCAAATTATAAGTATCACAAATGACTAGCTTAGTATGAAACTCGCTTACTAAAACTAATGTCATGAGAGCGAGACAAAAAAGAAAAAGTTGATAGGAGATAATAATAAGAATAAAACTCTTACTCTAATACAATCTTTTGAAATTACCATTTAAGTCTATTACAAACAAATCATTATATATATATATATATATATAAAAGAACAATTCCACAAAATGAATGAACTTTCATTTCCAATTTGAACATGATACATATTGGCACCAACTAACCAGCCGTATTTATTTATTCCGGGGCCTAAGGTATCTATCTTCTAGAGACGGTCCATCACTCTGTAGCATTTTCACCCCTTGGATATCCGTTATTGGGTGCCCGCTACGCGGTTAAGAAACACCGACGTACTGCTGTCAGAGTTGGACGATATCTAATAATTATATATCTATTACAACATGTATAGTATCGCGATTCGAGAATTTTATCAAGGACGTGCCCGTGTTCATGAGAAAATTTCTTGTCTCTCCCTTGTAGGATCCCAGGACCCAATTATAGAACTGCTACTGGAAAAAAATCACAGGCGAGGTATATTTGTGGCCAGAGCAGATTGAGATCATATATTGTTGTTTTTCTTCTTTCTCGTTTTATTTTTTCATTCAGCAAACGTCCGGGAGATAGTGGGAATCAATCATTACAAACAATCAAGTAAGGCTGTCGCCATCTCCCCTTCTATCTATCACTGTAATTGTTTGTCGAATCTCTAGGCTTCAATTTCCCATCATTCTTCACAGCTATATTTCATATTTGAGCTAGTTGTCTTCACTGATACGCAATTTACATTGCAAAATTGCATCTGGGGTCAGTTCCTGTTTTTGTCTGGTTAGTTTTGCTGTCCATTTCGAAATTGCCGTATTTTATTATTTTGTTAATTCTGAGTTTCATTATTTTAGTTACGTGTCTAATTGTTCTCTATTTTGTTTCTTGCATGTATGATTCAGCTCTGATCTCTTTCTGATTTCATCAGAGCTAAGTTTATGTTCTTTATTTACCAGTCTTGTGGGAAATATTCTGCTTTACGTCTTTTTATCTCTTGGATACCTGTCATATACATACATTTTTGAGGGCGGCCTTCAGCAATTTCAGTACGTCTTTTTGTACAACCAAATAAACCTAGGCCTAACCAATATGCCACTGTTGCAAGCCATGGAAACCGTTGTTTCATTTGTGCTTGATTTGTTGTGTAATTGGGTTTTCTTTTCTTTTCTCAGTTGAGTAATTGAGAAGGTAATAAGAGCTTCTTTCTGAGCTATGGTGAAGGAAACCGAGTACTATGATATCTTGGGTGTCAGTATAGATGCATCTCCTGCCGAGATTAAGAAAGCATACTACCTAAAGGTGAGACCTTTATGGTAATGTGAGCTTTTCATGAGTAATTAGTAACCCTATTAAGATAATATGCTATAATTACCACTACACAAAGAAATCAAGTTTTGATTTAAGCTATATTCATTCTGGAAATGTTGCTATGTTTTGTTCCATGCCAAACTTTACAGTAGAGAATGCTCCTATGGCTGTTGACAACTTACTAATTGTACGATTTTCTTTTACCTGTTTCAGGCAAGGGTAGTGCACCCAGACAAAAATCCCAACGACCCCAAGGCTGCTCATAATTTCCAGGTAAATAGTTCTATCTATATGATTCGAGAATTCAGTCTAATTAGATTAGCCACAACCCTTCCAAAATGCTTGTTGACCACAATGCTGCTATTATTTTTGTGCAAATAGCTCTTATTTTTAGCAATCGAAAGTCTTGTTTGGGTGAATGACTATTTCCTTGAACATTTTACTCTTTAATAATTGTTTTATTGTTTGGATAGTAAAAGCTTAATCAAATTTGAGACTAATTTGCCACTGGGAACTAATTTGTTGAAATCATCTTTGAAGGTACTTGGGGAGGCATATCAGGTATTGAGTGACCCAGCAAAGCGTGAAACGTACGACAAATATGGAAAAGATGGAGTAGCGCAGTATGTGCTTGCACTTTTCTGAGGCATATTGAAACATGTTAAATGCATATGGTGGCATAAAGTTTTGTGAATTCATCTTCTGTAGATATTTTCATTGAAAAGGCCATTATTGTCATCTACTTTCTTCTGGAACAAATTAGAAAGGTTTCTTAGCCTTCGTCATCTGTTTTCATTTGCTTAGAGACACCATGGTGGACCCTGCAACTGTGTTTGGCATGCAATTTGGGAGTGACTTCTTTGAAGATTATGTGGGGCAACTTCGATTGGCTTCTTTGGCAGGGGTTGAAATTGATGATAACTCAGAAAATCCTGATGTGCGCACTCAGAAAA